GTAATTTATACTATCCACTTTGGCTTAATTCAATTGATATCAGCAAATCACAATCCTTAGCAAACACACTAATCATTATTTATCACCTTAGGAAAATGAATAAAAGCAATCTTCTAGCATTAGATAAACAGGATTCTTTTCAGCTCCCTTTTGTTTTTCAGGCCACTGTCAGTACACAGTTCAAACCTTTCTACAGTTTTCTTTGTGTGAATTTTTTTTTGTACAGTTCCACATTACACTCATTCTCCTTAAAGCCAGCGTTAGATATCTCGTCTGCTTATCCACGGAAGCACTTGCAGGAACTATCAAGAGGCTGTCAAGAGGCGGAGGACGTCACAGTGTATAAGGAGCAAAATATTGCTTCCCTTGCAGATGGCTCCCAGTTTTATCTCAGCAAAACACCAGCTTCTAATCAATGTTGTTAAGAATCTTAAAGACCAACAGCCGTGACTTGGCTTTCCATAAATCTGACACAGTTGGAGGCAAAGCCATAGTGAGAATTAATTTTGTTTGCCATTGACAGCCTTGATACAAATATATGAATACCTGGATACAAATGCCTGATAGTACGTGCCTTCATAACATCTCTCCTGAAGCAATATGCTCTTAGTACTTCTACCTACATGATATTTTTAAACATAAGGTATGTAAAATATTCACTGGTACTGTAGATGGCATTGAAGGAAACCAAAACCAGCTTAACAAGACTTAGAAAAAAAAGGCAAAAAAGTCATTACCATCCCAGCTGGACATGTTGCAGGTGGTCAGTGCTACTTAGGTCCTGGCTATGGGTTACCACTCCTCTGAAACAAGCAGCAAAGAATTTGAGAAGCATACTTCCCCCCCACCTCTTTTTTCTTCTTTTCTATTTGTTTTAAGTAGCATTAACAAAGCAACGGTCAGGAGCTGTGTAGCATTCCCATGCTCTACCAGTCAAACCCTCCCCTCAGCATCAGTGTCTGGATTCAACTTTGAGCAAATTTTATTTTATTAAAATTTGCCTTGAGGCAAAATCCACACACATAAAACATAAGCCAAGTAAATTAGTGTTTCAGAATATTCAGTATATGAAAAGAGTTGGGTTTTATAACAGAAGCTGCTCACCATTTTTGATAATGAACAAAATTACTGTCTGAGCTTCAAATGTATCCTTTAAAATTAAATCCATTAATGTTGTTTCTGCTTTAGTGTTTTTTCCAGAAGTTGTAGAAGTCTGCAAACATCAGCTAAAAGCCTATCAAAAAGCCTGAAATAACTCCAAAGGAGAAAAAGTACTTTGTTCCTGAAACCCAGGGGCAAGCTTGCCTATACATAGAGGCAAGGGAGAAAATAGGTATATATGTGGAGGGATAGAGAAAAAATGAGCTGTTCTTCATTGGGGTCTGGTTTGGTATGGTCTGTCCCCCCCCCCAACCTGTAAACATATTGAAAGTAGGATCACAGAATGGTATGTGTTGGAAGAGACCTCTGGAGATCATCTGGTCCAACCCTGTTGCAGGTTCAGCTAGAGCAGGTAGTTATAATTCTGACACTCAGATTTAGCTAGCAATAGCCAAGGCATTAGGTTTGCTGTGACACACTTGGCTTAAAGAAAAACAGCTTTTTTTCTGTAATGCAGTAACTTCAATGTCAATTTCTTTATGGTAATCATTGTACGCATTTTGTTACCCATTGTCGTTGCTAATTCAAAACCTGGGCACTCTTGATTTAAAACAAACCTATTCTAACCTCATTCAAAAGGTTTTGTCTTCTTGTGCAACTTTTCCTTTGGAGGATGGGAGCGTATGAAGATTTACAGTGTGACATCCTGCCCCTGCTGCTCTGCTCAGAGCTGACAAACCATTTATTACCATCTCTGGAAGCAGTGGGAAGGACATCTCCCTTCCCGGCTGAATTTGCCCTCAGCCTTTCCTGTGTTACTGCTTGAATTTTGATCATCTATTTGTTCACAAAGTCAGAGTATAGCTTTGCTGGTCAAGGTAGCAGCAAACATTCAAACTGCTGATTTCTACAAAATTATTTAAATAATCCTAGTTTAGCATTACTGAAATAATAGTAATATAGAGTAACAGTTATAGGATTAAGTAATAGGAATATTGAAAATTATCTTGAAAGCTGGTGGCTTTCAACGCCATCTCAGTAAACCTGTCCTGCGATGCAGTTGTATGTTCACCTTCCTCCTTTTTCTTGGGAAGAAGCTAAGGTGAATATTGGTTTTGTAAAAGACACAAACACCAGACCCATGTCCTTCTTGGATATTTAAAAAAAAATGGTTCAAATGGCAAAGAATAATGCCTGAACTTTTTTAATGTTTTTTTTTTTTTCAAATGGATTAACTTCATTTTTTTTTTTAAATTGTCAGTTCCAGTTTTACATCATTAGATACTTAAATGATAAATAATGTTACATTCTTATGTTTTTGAGCCAAGAATATAACACCACATTTGTTGTTGCAGCCAGTAACTGCTACTTACCTTGACCTGATGACTTTCCCAAACTAACTTTAATCTTAATACAACCTGTTCTGCTTATTAAAATAATAGTTATAGTAATATCAACAACAATTAGTAAAACCCAGCACTTGTCTTTCCTCTTTTCATTCTGCCTGTATTGCCCCCTTTCCAATAACACAAGTGAAATAGCGCATGTCCCTTGTAAAGCCTTCTTTCAGTGGCCCCATTTTTTTTTTAAGCTGTAACTTTGATATTCATTGCATAGTTTGAGGGTGTTAAGATCTAATAGACAGCATTTTTCGTATTAATTGTACCAACAGGGAACACTCATTTCCTGTCATCTTTGCAGTATGGGCATCAGATATGCCCTTCTTCCCTTTTTAGCAGCATATTTAGACTTGGCTTTCTACCAAAAGGTGATTGTAACATGAAATGAAATGGTACATGTTATAAAGTCTATGTTGCTGGTTGTTTTTACTGTTTATGTTCCTTTAATTTCTGTCTAACAGAAAACTCAGTATGTTGCTGTTTTGCCTCACAGCCTCTGGCCAGCCATAGTGGTTAAATTGGTTGAAGCTCTCGGATTTTTGAACTGAATTCCCCTGAAATAAAATGACCGAATGTGATTAAGGATTGGAACTCCTAAATGCCACAGCAGTAGGAACCAACAGCAGATGTCACTCAGTAAAGTAGACCATCTCAGCAGATGGGCAAATGTGAAATGTAAAGGCTTTTCCTGACATCATTTGGTTTTAATATGATAGAAATAAAATGCCTTGTCAGTAAATTATAACCAGACAGTTGCTTTGCAGTCATTTTGGGTACATGGTTGGTAATTCAAAGTCCTGCTGCCTTTGCAATATTAATTATTCTGTGCCTCGTTACAGCAAGAATACATATCAGACCAGCTGAATGTACCACATGCAGCTGTAGTGGCTAAAAAGTATCTGATCCTATATTTACAATTTAGCGTTAGTAAAAGATAGAGGAAAGCAACTTTTCAGATAATTTCCATGATGTTAATTGATGTATCAGTCAAAATTTAACAGATAGGATTTCATGTCATGTTTTAGGGTGTTTTTCTTCCTGCAGAGGTATGTGATGTGTATCTCGGAGCAGAAAAGCAGTTCTGTAGAGCTAAGAGTTGTGATAGCAAAGTGCCTCAGGGGAGCTGGGGCTGCAAGCAGTGTACTTAATGACATATGTTCCCATTAAAATGTGTAAGCTGTTCTTTTGTACAAGTGGTTAACACCTTTTTAATCAGGCCATTTATTTAATTACAAAAATAAGTACACCGTGTTGGAAAATGGCAGTATTTTATGGTCAGCAGTTTTCACATCTGGCTATATATATATACATACATTTATATCTACCAAAAAATGTGTATATACACAACTTTCATTGTGACTGAACGTATCTTAAGCACACATAAACATAACCCACTACTCATAGCACCCATAATACATACTCCTACTCTGAGCAAAGCTATGGTACTCACTCAGTATTATCCTGGTACCATCAGAGATGCTGTTTACTTGAGAGCTGCTTCTCTTAACTATAAAAGGTAGTTGATGTATTATGCTTTGAATCTCACATTTCAACATGCTCATGAAGTAGAAATTTTGATCTTTGGAGCACAGGTTAGGGTTTGTCAGTTTCAGTGGGTGCTGAATTTTCTGAGACAGATGAATTATCTGGTGTCTGAGGAAAACTAGTGGGTTTAGTGTATTTAATTATTACTCAGGTTGTTTGTTGTGTTTTCTAGGTTGAATTTGTCAGCCTCAGTTTTTGTTATTTTGACTGTCCCCTTTATGAAATTTTAAGGCACCCTTTTGTAAATCAAAAGTAAATATATTATCCTACTTTGTAGGGGGGCCATAAGGCTTAATTAGTTCATATTTGTAAAGTGTTCTGAGATTCCCAGATGAACATCAGATGTTTATTATTAATTACAGGCTCTGGTGAATATACTGGATGATTTTAAAACTTAATTCTCTTCAGGCAACCTTAAAATAACTATTTTTTAAATGCCTTTATTCTTTTAAATTCCTAAAGCACATTTGCTCTTGGCTCAAGTAATTCTGTATGCATTTTCCTATCACTTACTGTATTTTTAGTTCTGGAATTTGTCTTGTCTATATAGTAAAATGAAACACAGCCTTTTACCATTTTCCCTGTGTATTCTGCTATGTGGACAATTCTCTAATAAGAGGGTTCTGTTTAAACATTACATGGTAGTTTTCAGCCTTTTTTTTTCCTGCAGCAGGGAGTATTAAGTAATTTACTTGTCTTCCCCTGGGAAATTTGGAGAGATTACACGGCACTGCTGTGATTTATCATTTCTACTTTATTTCTGACTCATAAAGCATACATTATTTTGTGTTTACCTTCAGCAACAGATCACAGGAAATTTCTTCATCAATCAAAGTGCTTTAAAATTGGGAGCAGTGATGAGGTGACAAAAGCACAGTCAGCAGCTGTGGTTATTGGATGATCATTTATTGCTTCATTGTGTCGTAACACCTCTCATTTTATTCCATTTTCCAGGATCGGGCTCGTGTCGCTTCAGTTACTCAGATCCCAGCATCACCGTATCCTACAGTAAGAACAGTTCTGCAGATTGGACTCAGCTGGAGAAAATTAGGTTTGTTACAGCTTTTTAATCATTTTCATGCTCTCTGGCTGAGCAGGTGGTGTTTAAAGCTGGCTTTTAAAAAGTTATTTTAATTGTTAACTTTTCAGTTCTCACTTTTTCATACATGTTAAGAGATGAGTGGTGAAATTATGGTCACTAAAGCTAATTACAGAACTGCCCCTGGGTTTAGTAAATCACGGTTTCATCCACTGACAGTATGGGAGGTAAGGAACGGAATGACTTCAGAGTCAAAATGTAACTCAGATAACTAGCAGGTTCAGGTGTCTGACAAGCCTAAACTTTAATGACTTTTGCATTTTAGCACCACATTTAATGTCATCAGGTGCCATAATTTAGTGTTACAAGTTTCTACTTTGGTAGGATAAAACATTCAATAAAAATAGTTTAAAAAAAAGTTTGGCTCTTAACACTCTTATAATAACAAGATTATGGTGATTTATGCCTTGTTTTTAAACAAACTGTTTTACAGGAAAGCACAAAGGATTATGGATGGAGATTTTAAAATATTTCGTTGAAAAATGCACACCTTTAAAGAGAGTCAGTGTCAGAGATGGATTTTTCTAAGAGAGCAGAACCAACATTTTATTAAATCATATTAGGAAAGATTTTCTTGCATTGGCATATAGAACAGATGGGGAAGAAAACGTGCCATTTATATGTAATGTCCTAATAGCATCTCAGTCCGCCTTCCTGCACTACTTCAGTGCCTGTGCCACACAGACAGTTTCCTTGGGCCTGTTTTCAGTCCGTTGAGACAATTTGCAGAACATATGGCTTCTTAATTTCTGATGAGATAGCAAAATTCTAGCTGCAAGGCTGTGGATTTCAGTATCTCATTCTCCCATTCCTTCTGGGAGTGGGATTATAATTTCATTGACAAAATTACGAGTTATGAGCAATTTTAGTTTTTGAAAAAAATGGCGTGAATTCTTATCTCAGAAAAATATAAAGCAAGAGTAACTTCACTGCAGCCACAGGAGTTGTCTTAGAGTAACCACACAAAACCTTTTATTTTTCTCACTTTGAAGCAGAATTGTGCACTTGGTCCATAACATCAGTTAATTTACCTTCATAACTCTGCAAGCCAAAAGACTCAAGAGTTGTGATGGTGTTAATACAAGCCCTTGAAAGCCAAATTTTTTGAAGTTAACACATATAGAGTTTGATCTATGTTGCTTTATCTTTGACTGCTGGAGCTGACAGTAGAAAATAGGTCAATAGAGCAATGTCGTGCAAAGCGTAGAGGATGAATTATGAAAGGATGCTCATTTCTCCTTTGTTCCATATGAATTACGGTTGTTTATCTGAATGCACTTCAGTGGCTTTCACTGCACTACATGCAGCTTCAGGGATCAGTGGGAGAACTGGCAAGAGGTGGGACAGGAGGGCACCAGTCAAGGGAAGGTGTTGTGTTGTGTTGGGGGTGTTGGTGGGATTTCAGCTCTGGACTCCCGGGTGAGAGGGGAAGGATCTCCTGAGGAAGGTGGGTGCTGTGTAGGGGTTGAGGGAGAAGTGAGGACGATCTCTCAGAGCAGTGCTGCAGTGCAGGTTGACAGACATAACGTTTAGCAAGTGCAAGTGATTTGTGGGGGCAGATTCTGGGTGTGAATATGGGGCAAATACAGTTGCTTTTCAACATTTCATTACACGCTAATGTTTTGGTTTACAAAGAGAATTTCCTCTGTTTTCTGCTGTGTAAGCAAGCTATTGGTGCCTTTTTTCCCTAAAAGCTCTGGATTGTCTCTGACAAACTGTTCACTCACCAAAGCATTGCTACCAAGGCAGAGACAAAGCTGAGAAGCTGACATCTTGCAAACCCCAATTTTGTAAGTCCTTGCAGCTTGAGGCTTGAATGTAGCTAACTCCCATGCTGAGTGATTAATAATATAAAATAATTCTCATCATCCTTTCCTTGCACAAAGATCTCAGTCTTTTCATTACCACTGGCAGTGTGAAGATATTGACCCAGAACTCGGGGTGAACTTCAATCTTTTCCCAGCTGTGAGGACAGCTCTGGGAAGCAGAGCTCAAGGCTGTGATTGTGGTCTAATACTTATACTCCAGCTCTGCCTCTCCTTCCCACATTTTCCATTTTCAGCGGCAAGAGAGAGGATGAACGGATTGTTTCTTCTGTGTTGCTCTTGAAACAGAATATGTAAAGAAAGGCAACCTGGTCCTCCCCTACCATAGAATTATCCTGATAGCAGGGGTGTGGGGTTGGAAGGACACATTTATCAAAGGAAACTCCCAACTTTTTCCTCCACTCATTCCACTCTATCCAGACTCCATCCAGATCTATGAGGGACTGAAGCACTATAAGTCAGGAGTTTCTTTTGGTGAAAGCTCATGCAAAAATCACATTTCAGGAGACATGTTTTTGTAAAGTGCTTCCTTAACATTTCCTTTTGGCCATTCCTGCAAAATATCTGACAATGTTCAGTCACCTAGGAGCTGTGACCGACACTGAAAATGAATGTTACCTTGCTCTTTTTTTTGCTCTCCAAACTTCTGCATTGATCAGTTATTTATGATATTAGAGGGCATCTCCTTTGAAGCAAGACTATTCGGGCTGTATGTGCTGCCTGGTATAATGGGACTCTGCCTCAGGGCAGGTATTTGCAGATCTCCATGGAAGATTTATCAGCATACCAGGGAAGTCAGCACAACTGTCACACCTAGTAAATGTGTTGCATAAGGGGAAAGTGTTCCTGACTATGGTTTAGTCTTAGTCTAATTCCTTATCATTGTTTTTCAGCGCCCCTTCCAACATCAGCACGATCATCCACATCTTGTACCTTCCTGAAGATGCTAAAGGGGAGAACATTCATTTTCAATGGAAACAGGATTATGTTCATGCCGGGGATGTGTATGAAGCCTGTTGGGCATTGGACAACATCCTGATCATAAATGCTGCCCACAGAAAAGTTGTGTTAGAAGACAATCTTGATCCTGTGGATACTGGAAACTGGCTTTTCTTTCCTGGGGCCACAGTTAAGGTTAGTCTGATTTTCTATGGCTTAATGTTATTATTGCTGTTGTATGTAGAAGAAAAAAAGAACATCTAATCAAATTCTAAGCACACAAGGGTGTTTAGGCTACTCCATCTGCTTCTAGAATTAGGTTCTTCTTCACTTTGTTTTTACCTTTTTCTGTCCCATCAGGGCTTTCTAGAACAATGCAACTTCTCTCCCATGACCAAAACCAAATGACAGTTTGTACTGTCATGTCAAAGATCATGCAACAGAAATTAGGAAACCGCTTCCTTTTAGCAAAACAGTGCAATATTTTTGAAACAAATTCAAGTCTTTCCACTGGATATTTGGAAATCTACCTGTTAGTTTATCTTGGTGTTGTTCACCTACCACTACTTGGTTCATTCACAATAAACTATGTTTTCCCATTTTTCCTAACTGGGAATATCAAATCCCCTTTGCAGCATGCATTCAGGTAGTGGCTGCTGCTTAAAAGTCTTTTTTTTTCAGTAAGATCCTGTTTTGATATATGAGATCCAGCAAGATCATGCAACCTTGAGAAAAACTCTAAAGAGCCCTACAAAATCTCTGTACACAAAGTTCTTTCAAAGGCAGAGTTGTTAATCATCTGGAAATCACTTGGATTCTTGCTTTCTGTGTTTCCAAGCAGCCAGAAGTTGAGCAGCAGATGACTTTCTGTTTCCACCTTATTTTTCATTCACAAAAAAAAGGCAGTTTTGATGTCAGAGTTCATTTATGATATTGGTAATGGCTCTGGCAATTGCACAGGAAACAGATGTCAAATAGTGAGGGCAGTAAGAGGTTGGTTATAGCCTCATCCTTTTCCCACAGACCTTGATATGAATGGCCTCAGGTGAATCTTTTTAGAAATAAATGCTCCTACTAATCTACTCATAGTACCTACATATTAACTTTTTTTTTTTAAACTCTTTTGGTAAGACCATTTAAACTACTATAATGAAGTTTCTATCTGAAATATTAGAATCAAATAATGTCCTGCATGTTTAATAAAGAAATTTTCTGTTATAAGTTCATATTTGTTGTGTTGTCAGTCTTACCTCTGGATTTTAAAATCCAGCCCACACATGTGAAGGTGTGAAAGAAGAGATCATTATTCCATGGGCGTTGTTACTTTTCAGCTGGCCAAACCTAAACATCGCTTGTTCCTACCGAAACAAGTACAAACAGCACCTAAACTTGAGCAAGTAAATGTCTTTTGTTATTATTGTTGTTGATGTTTTTTTTCTGTTGTTGGGGGAGCTGAGGATTTTTTAGTTAAATTCAGCCATTTTGTGTCCGTACAGAACTATGGCCACACAAAAGACAAGAGACCTAAACTCAGAGATCACTTAGTGATTCTAGACAAAAATCTTGTTCAAGCTCAAACCTTATATGAGACATGAGTGAGGATTCACCACCCTGCCATTACTTGAAGGTCTCCTTCTGGTTTAGAAACAAATGAAATGTGCATCTGTCTGTTCCCAGCTGACATTTGGCTATGTGTAACCATTTCCACCAGGTTAAGGTAATGTGTAAGGCTGTGGTGTAGCCACACTGGATTAAGGCTATGTGTGACATAGGGCTTTTATTCTTCATGAGACCCTTAAGTTATTTCAAACTTTTTTAGTGTATCCAGATTGTTGCCAGAGCACTCCCATACTCAAACTTATTTTTTAAGATTTTTGCTCAAGTTTTCCTCAAATTTTCAGCAACATTCTTGCCAAATACAATTTGAACAGATTTTTCAGTGTGAATTTCATGTTATGTCAAAACTAAAACTATAAATTGGGTCAAGATTTACATCAGACTTAGCACAGACCCTGTTGTAGCATTGTAACACCAAGAATGATTTCTGTGACAAAGTTTTTCCGCTTTCCAGGATTGGAGCAGGACCTTTTCTCTGCCATCCAAGCCTTTTCATGCCATACAAGTTTCAATTCATATCCTCCTATCCTTTGTCAATTAATATTTAGATAAACTGACCTTTAAAATCTTTCTTAAAGTTTTTGTTTGCTTCTTACTGACTTACTTCAGTGCTTTTCCTCATGACTTTTCTTGGCAATACCAACGAACAGTCACATTTCTGGATGTTATTTGTTGTCTAACTGAGTTTTCATTGGTACATAGAAAACAGTAGGTCAATTCTTTTCCTAAATTGTGCCATGAAGATAAGTAGTTTCCTTACACAAAGAGAATGGAATAACAACTAAAAGAAAAGAATAAAAAAAAAATTATTTTCCCAAATGTCTTCCATTTCCTGGGGTTATTTTCTGTATTCATCCTTTCTTGCTCACCACCTTTCACCACCCAGAATGACTGCATATTTCTCAGGTGGAAGGGCAGTGCCAGTCTGAGATAGCACAACCAGTTGGCAGTCAGAACTGAAAAAAAGAGGAAAAAATACATATTTATTTCTGGTTGAAAAATTAGTAGAAATAGTCTTTTTCTGAGTATTTACTTCTGGATTGCCCCAGCAGGCGTTGGTGACGTGATGGAACCTTCTCCTTGGAGACTCTGTGGCATGTACAGGGTAGTCAATGAAACAAACAAGGGTAACCCATGAGCCTGTGATCTTGCACACTTTAGCTGTTACAATACCTGCTTGGTTGGCTTTATCTTGTGCCATCTCCCACGCATTATCTTCAAGGGATGTATCCCTATGGATGGGCCAAAGGCTGTTTCTAATAGGCTGCAGGCACGACACCACTCTTCTGGGAGGAGAGAGCTTGCTCAGGTGGATGCAAACTCTGCTGTATCATTTGCAGTGTAGGCCAGAGGTCTCTGGCCTAATCCAGTCACCATTATGGTCCTAGCATGTAAGAACTGCCCACTCCACCCATCCATTCAACCATTCCAAGTGTGTTAAGGGAATTCTCATTAAACAGCATTTTGTTGCCTTGGTGGGTTACCCTGTTAGTAGAGATAGAAGTTAAGGAACAGTTTGTTGCTCGTTTAGAATAAATGTTGCTGTTGCTCACATAGTTAGATGCAATTCACCAGGTTATTTACCAATATTTGCTCAGGAGGTGGCTTTTAGAATTGTTTGTTATGACTGGCGTGTGCTCAGGTTGGACGCTTATCAAGTCGCAAAGAAAGCGTATTTTTTTCTGTAGAAGTTTTACTTTGTTAGTACTTGAGGTCTAGCAAAATAGCAAACAAAAATCCAGGAGTTTTGCTAGTAAAACTGCTCAGGCTAATAGCTCCTTAGACTAATAAGATGACAGCCGAAATAAAGAAAAATACTACCATGAAGACTGTTGTCTAGGTCATGGATTAGGTTCCGTGATGGATTCAGTTTCTGGAGTGGACAACGCAAGAATTAATGGTGTTCACTCCAGTTTGGTGAATTTAGACAGGGTGTTCTCAATAAGCACTTGTGGAAACTTGCCTGTGCCTACCCTGGGAAGCAGTTTCTTCTCCTCTCCCAGTCTGCTTGAGTTTGGAAAAAGAATCTGATTGCATTTCTTGCTGCGCTCAGGAGTGGTTGCTGTTAGTTTGAGAGCACACGGCTGGTTGCAGACGCAGCTGGAACTGGCTACTGAGATGGGAAGCATACTGAGAGATAAGCCACTGAGTTTGTGTGTTTTGGTTCCAAATAAGACAGCAAAAGACAAGAAAGACTGGTAGCAAGGCCAAGCAACCCTTAGGAGATTAATTGGATCCACTGGAATGTATTTATCTGTGTTGGACTGTGAGGAAGGGTGTTGAACAGGATAAATTCCTGACTGCATTTCAGTATTTCCAGTGACAGCTCTGAGCGTGAGCATGGCCTTGCAACCAAGTGTGCTTGGGATGCTGCACTGTTGGTTGAGACTGACGAAATGCATGAAACAGTGCTATGCTCTGAGAGCTGTTAAAGGTCTGTGAACTGTAAGACTTCAGAGCTAAATGGGGGAAAAGACAAAATCTTCTTCCTTCAGTAATGCTTCCTGGACCTCTACTGCTGTAGACCAGAAAAGTGAGCTCATCTTTCAGTGGACACTTCATATATCTTGCATATTTGTCCAGAAATTGTTGTGTTTTGAGGTACAACATTTGCGAAGTATTTTGGTTTTCTCTGATTGCTCTGGTCAAGATTGGATGTGTAAGCACAAAAACTGAGGTTGAGACGAGAAGCAACTTCAACAGTCTTACAGTTCATGTCTCTGCAGTGCTTCGATTATATAAAAATAGCAATGAGACCGAAACATTTACCCCTGGAATTTTTCCACATCTGGGAAAAAGTAGTATAGAGTACTTCAGACACTAGAGCAATGATGTACTTGGTCATGATGTGTTAACCCAGCAACACTTCTCACCTTTTACAAGAGTCTAGCTACAAAATTGTTGTTTCACAGTAATTACAGCTGCTCTTCACATGGTGACTGAAAGCTGCTATCCAGCTGGTCAGCTTTAGTCTGCAGACCCAATAGTGGGTCTTCAACATTTAGCTCATTTTAATTTCCCAGAAACGCATACCAGCTTAGCAGAAGAGAAAGCTGACTGAGAAAAGAGTAAAGAACTGAACATCCACACTCAGAAAAATACGCTGAACATGTGTCTGTAAAACTCTATGACCTTTCACCACACCCTGAGCAGAGCAGGGCTATGCACATCCTAGATCTGTGAGTCCTTCCTGAAACCATGTTGTTGTCTGTCACTGAGCAGAAAAGACATCAATGCAGGCCTAGGAGTTTGGCAAAAAGAAAGGCTGATTAAGCTGTTCCACCACCCCAGTTCCAGAGTGGATTTCCAGATCTCTGAATACTCTGTTAATTAATAGGATGTTATTGGATAGTTTCTTTCAAAACAAACATCCTGATATTCCATATATATCTTTGTTGCGTTTAATTGTTTGTGCTGAAATAAACAAGATTTTTTTTCCATTTTCTGGTTTTAAATTCTTGCTTAAAAAAGGGTTGAGGTACCCATTGACCAAATCAGATCAAATATATTTGTTTGAAGGAGGAAAGGTGATGGATACCCTATGTATGCCAGTGTGAAAATAGTAGACTGAAATTTCT